GGGAGGTGTTTCCAAGCGAGGGAGATGTGGTGTGAGGGACACGGGGCAGTGGGGACCTGGCAGTGCTGAGTTAAGGGCTGGACTTGATGATCTTAAAGATCTTTCCCAACCAAAACAATTGTATTATTCTACTGCAATACAAATTACAGTATCCGAGGATCTGGCCTGGCTGGTTTTGGGTGGCCGCCAGAACTGGAAACACAAGAGCTGGGGTTTAATGGGATGTGAATCTGGGCTGGAGATGGCAATGTCCAGTGTGGCCCAGTCTGTGGAACTGGGCTGTGACTGCTGCTGCCCAGCCTCCTGCCTCCTGGGTCCTGTGTTGCCTGCCCGGGTCGTCGGTGATGCTGTTATGGAAGTGGGTACTGGAAAGCAGAGTTCAGAGGGGGCTGTGTTGCCCTGTGGCTACTTAATTCCCTGCACCCCTTTGCTTTGTGAGCTGAGGAGGCTCTGGGCCCTCGTGTGTGTGTGTGTGTGTGTGTGTGTGTGTGTGTGTGTGTGTGCCCATGATGGGGGCAGCAGCGGGGGGGTCAGAGCTGGTGTGACACACAATTAACAGCAGGGATGGGGGGTCTCTTCTTGTGGCCCTGCAGCCAATCTGAAGTCTCTGAAGCAGCTGCATCTCCACAGCAACCTCCTGGTGACAGTCCCTGCCTCGCTTGCCAGCTTGCCCAACTTGTCCAGGCTTGATCTGCAGAACAACTGTCTCCGTGTGGTGCCCCCCGAGATCCAGACCTCGCCGTTCGTCCACCTCCGAGGCAACCCCCTGGGACAGGCTGAGCCAGCCCCCCAGGCAGGTAACTGCAGGGGCCCTGCTGCCCTGGGCTCTGCCCTGCTGCCCCTCGCTCAGCCCAGCATGGCTTTGGGTTAGAGTGGGTGGTTTAGGTTAGAAAAGACAAGCAGATGAGTATTTATTTGTCTGGAATGATTGTTGGGTTGCAAGGATACAGGCAGGACCAGTTACACGAGCCTGAGCCTGCTCTGTAGTGGTCCCTGGAACTGGGCTCACCAGGAAAGGTTCTTCAGTGGAAGTGAAAATGGGATTCACAGGACACGGATCAGGAGAGGCCCCTAAAGGGGTCCAGCCTCTTTAGCAGAGGTGAGCACCAGTTCTTGGGCTTGCTGCATGGCCCTACAGCTGTGGTGGCTCATGCTGGAAGCACAGGGAGCACTAAGAGGTCGTTCTGCTGTGCAGTTACCTCCTGCTTCCCTGTCGTTCGCAGGCTGCAGATGAGCAGCTCTTTGTCCAAGCTGAAGGTGAGGAGTGAGCAGGAATCTGGGCAGGGTTTCCCAGCGTGTTCCTGTTGAGAAGAGCAAGTGCTGGTTCCCAGCGGTGGTCCCAGGCAGTCTGACATGGCCCTGAGAGCTGTGGGGGTTTTAATTCCCCTTGCTGCTGAGTTTTCCTGGAGGAGAGTCAGCATGTCCAGTGTGATGTGGGACCTTTAGGCCTCCTCCTGTCCTGCTGCTGCTGCTTGATTCTGCAGTGTGAGCAGGGTTCCGTTAGTGACTTCTGTCAGGTTAGGATGAGGCCAAAGGTGAAAACCAAGTCCAGCCTGATTTAAGTGACCTCTGTCTCCTCCTCCCCTCCAAACCTTCTGATGGCAGCAGATGAATCCAGCTCCAGAGGGCTGCGAAGACTCTTCCTGGCACCAGGAGAGGACAGGTGAGCCTCTGGTGTGAAGAGTTTAGCTTACAGGGGTGTGACAAGGTCACAGACAAGACTGGTGCGTGGTGGGCGTTGCTCGCGTGTGGGCGGCCTCAGCAGGCCAGTCAAACACAAGGTGGGAGGGCTGAAGTCACTGCACACTGTCGTACGTCTGTGCATTTCCTGTGGCAGCTTCACTGTCACCCCTGAAGGCTGCAGGGTGGCCCTGGCCTGTGGCACCCAGCTCTGCTTTCCCCCGGGGGCTGCCCCCGCCCCGCTGCGCATCCGCTGCCGAGCCCTGGCCCCGGACCCCCGCTGGGTGAAGCTGAGGCACCACGACGTCCTGCTGAGCAGAGTCCTGGAGCTGCAGCCTCACGGGGTCACCTTCCAGCAGGTGAGGACACAGCCAGGCCTCCTCCTGATCCCTCTGCCTCTGCAGCAGCTCGGTAGTCTTCCGAGAGAGTCTTTTAGGACTTTGGAGGTGGCTGCCCCTGTCGGTGCTGCCTGTAAGTAGCTGCAGGGAGATTGACAGAATAACAGAATTCTGAAGGCTGGGAGAGACCTCCAGGATCCTCAAGTCCAACCAACAACCCAACACTCCCATGACCACTAAACTATGTCCCCAGGTGCCATGTTCACACGTATTTTGAACCTCTCCAGGGATGTGGACTCCCCCACTTCCCTTGGCAGCCCCGTCCAGTGCCTCCACAAAGGTCTGCCTTCCCAAGGTCTGCCTTTCAAAGAAGCCTTGTTGCAAAGACTCAGAAAGGCCAGAGCCAGCTCCTCTTGCACTATGCTATTCTGACTCCTTTGCCTTCCCCACGGCTCCTGCTTCAGCTGAGCTAAAACCTTCCTCACTCAAAACCCTCCTCCTGTGCCAGAGGGTAAGGGCTGTACCAGCCCTTGGCCTTGCCCTGCAAGGAGGAGGCTTCACACCCTTCCCTAAAGGTCTGATGGTGTGGGTTTCATTCAAGCTGGTCAGTACTGGCACCACCAGCCCTGTCATGGCTGGCAGCAACCCGCTGCTGAAGTTGCTTTGCCCTTTCTGCCCATGAGCTGCTGAACTTTTCCTGGCATCACACCCCACAGCAGACCTGGCACCTCAGTCACCTCCCTGGAGGCTGCAGGACACAGCGGGTTCCTCTCTCCTCCTGCACTCCCTGCACACAGGCTGTGCTTCACCCTCCCCCTTTTTTGGTTCTATCCTTTCTGTCAGCATCAGGAATGTTTTGGTTTTGCCAGGAGGTGCAGATCTGGATGCCTTGTGCCTCCCCTCAAGCCCTTCCCCAGCGTGAGGTGGTGGTTCGGACCTTCAGTGGGCAGAGCTGGAGTGACCTGAGAACAAGGGTGGAGCAGAAGAGGAAATCCAAGGTAAGCAGGTGGGGCTGACCAGCAGCACACACCACTCCTCTTCCCCACTTTGGTTTTGCCCAGCCAAGAGTGAGCCCATTTCACACACCTCACGGGCTGTGTTTTGACCAGCTGCTGTACAACACGCTGGATTTCAGCTCTTGGTTGCAGCCTTCACCCCTGTTCTGGTGCTTTCATCTGCTTGGCTGTTACTGGCACTGACTTTCCTGCCTTTCTCATCTCATGTTATATGGCTGAGTGTTTTCTCTTCCTGCCTGCCTCCCGTTACAGAAGCACGTGGCTCACTGCAGTGTCCTTCACTTCTCGTGGTTCCTCGTTGTGTCCCGACTTGTGCAGAATGAGTGCAAAGTGCCCACAGAGGGGACCTTGCTCTTCTCCAGCGTGGACCCAAACATCAAGGTGACATTTCCTCCCGGAGTCACTGCGGAGACACGCAGCGTCAAGCTGCAGGTATGCACAGCACAGGCTGGGGTAAGGCCCAGGGCAGGGGTTGTCCCGTGCCAAGCAGGGAGCTGGAGGTGAGAAGGAGGCTCAGGGGAGACCTTCTGGCTCTGCACAGCTCCTGACAGGAGCCTGGAGCCAGGGGGGGGTCGGGCTCTGCTCCCAAGGAACAAGGGACAGGACAAGAGGAAACGGCCTCAAGTTGCCTCAGAAGGAAGTTTAGGTTGAACATTAGGAAAAATGTCTTCCTTGAAAGGGTTGCCCAGGGCTGTGCCAGGCTGCCCAGGGCAGTGGTGGAGTCCCCACCCCTGGAGGGGTTTCCAAGCCGTGGAGATGTGGGGTGAGGGACACAGGGCAGTGGGGACCTGGCAGGGATGGGTTCATGGTTAAACTCAATGATCTTGAACGTCTCTTCCAATCAAAATTATACTGTGATTCCATGTCCACCCAGGGTAATTTGTGTCTGAAATGGATGCTCCATGGGCTGACCCATCTCAGATCACCTTCTGTCTTAGCTTCCCTGCCTGCACAACAGGCTGTGCTGCCCTGGGTGGAAGGGAGGTCTCCTCTCAGCTGTCAGAGCCCCCTCCAGCAGAGCAGCAGGTAGCTGCTGGGAAGGCAACACAAGGAGATTTTGCCTCTTGTCCCCGTGCAGAACATCCTGAGCCTGACAGAGCCACCCAGTGAGTGAGACTCAGGGGGATTAATTGATGTGGATCTAATCCTGAAACTAACAACTAAAATAATTTGTTCCTTAGAGCTGCTAGAGAGTGCTGAATCCTATGGGTGGCCTGTCCCAGCTGGCCGGGGTGACACCAGGGGGCCCAAAATTGGGTGCTGACTGCACTGCCTTCCACACCCAGGTGCTGCCAGTCTCTGCTGAAGAGATAGAGGGGATGGCCAGTGGGTGCAGAGCCAGTGCCCTGCTCTGCCTCTCCCAGGACTCCCTGCTGGACTTCCTCAGGCCCGTGAGGGTGCAGCTGCCCCTCCCGCCCGGCGTCACAGGTCAGTTCACCCTGCTGGGAGGAGAAGCCCTGGCTCGTGGAGGGGCTGCCTGCAGGCTCTGCTCTCTCTCCTCTGCCCTTGCTGGTGAGTCAGGTGCTGGGCCCTGCACACACAAAGCCATCTCCCACTCTGAATCCTGCTCAAACAGCCTCAGCCTTGCCAGGGACTCCTCTGTTTGTCTGCCAAGTACCTCGTGGCTCCTAATTCCCATTTTGTTTAACCTTTGACTGGCTAAATATGAGCCAGCATGTGCCCAGGTGGCCAAGAAGGCCACCAGCATCCTGG